ATCGTGTTGAGCCCTTACTACAGCGGGCACGCATTGGCAGGTGCCGTCTGGCAACAGCGCTGCGGCGCCCGTCAATGTTGTGCGCGCGCGAGATGTGTTCGGAGTGCCCCGGGTTAATGTTGTGTTGACCTTCGCGCTGCCGTGCAGGATAAGCCCTATGTGTCCGCGTTGGTTTACAGTCTACCCCCAAACGTTCGTCGCAGGAATCTGTGGTTCTTCTGCGGGCGCAACTCAGGCAATCTCGCACATCTGAATAGCATACTCCACCTGCTCCACTGAATCTTCTTGTGCAGAGTGTCACGCAAAGTAACTTCTTGTGGTCTGTCATCAACACGCATTTGATGGAGGATGTCGTAATATTTGTTTCCGAGCGCTGCAAAGTTCTTATGACCAGAAAACTGCATTCCAGTGAGATGCTCCATGATGAATACCAAATCAGACCTGTCGCTAGGCCGGGACGATTGTAAATGGCAATGTTCTCGCGCCTGAATGAGCTTCCCTTGTCTTTGTCAAAGTTCCACACGACGAGTAACATCCAGTGATATGATGTGTCCTTCGCATCACCGGGGGCTATTCCTCAGAGAATACCGAATGCGACGCTCACCCACGCGTGTCATGTTTCTACGGCAGGATCGACTGATGCACTGCAACTTATGGCCAAAATCATCTTCCCGTCCTCGAGCTGCGCGACCTTCGGACAGGGCGGTACGGTGGCCTTCTCCGCCTCACTGTCGTCCTTTCCGTCCTCGAACGATCATCTGGACTTCGGCCCCTTGCTGCCCTTCTGTGACATTGTCGATCATCTTCCTCATCTTCTTCCCTTTCTTCTTCCGCGTCTTCTGCATCGCCGTCATCATCATCGCGAGGAGGAGCATCTGGAGGACCTCCGCCTCCGAATGTAAGACGTACATGTAGGTCTCTTCCATCTCTACCGCCGGCATTGTAGTTGAAGCCCGCGTCATTGCACGGAGGCGTAGAGTCCCGCCAGGGTTTCCGCCGCCAGGCGGCCCGCCCGCATTCGTAGGGACGGATCCGATCGCGCCGCGCAGCACATCCAGCGCCTCTGTCACTGGATCTTTGAGATGAGAAAACACTATTCGTCCTGGACAAAACCTACTACCCTCAACCGAGACGAGGTGGGGAGGTTAAAGCTAGCTCCCTAGAACTCGACGTTTTGTTACCAACCTCGTCTACTCTAGCTTCTTCGCCCCTCGGTAGATCATCACCATCCTTCGGGGCTCTTGATTGGTGAAGTGATCCCAGTCGAAGCTACAGCACCCCTGATCAGCTCTTCGTTTTCCGTGTCAAGTTGATGCACGTACCCTTACTTGCACGTAATTCCCGTTCTCTGTTGTTGACTTGATACAATGTTTGCACCCACCAGCGTTTTGTTCTCGTTCTCGATCCTGTCTCGAGAAGAAACTGCTTCATCTATTGCTTCTCCCCGCAGATTTTTTCAACATAGTCTCCATTGATCTTGAGTTCGCTCTTAAAGCGCTCGTAGCTTTTGCTCTCAAATGCAGCGGCCCTTCTGCCAAGGCACGCTCACAATCACTATTGCTTCGCCTCACGGTGCTCGCGAAGAACCTGAAGTATCGCGTCGGGGTACAACGCCAAGGCCAAAATCCAAGTCGGCGCCCCATCCTTGTCAGGATGGGCGAAAAAGGTTTCACACACAAGGAAGCCGTGGAAGGAAAACCGAACAGCAAGGCCATGCCGAAGCCTACATCCACAACAAAAACGCCAGCCGTGTCGTCCGGAGTCCAGTTCAAAGCCAAAGACGTCACGGCCAGCATGCTGTCTCATGCAACAGATGCGAGCGGCATGAATGCGATTCTTGACAGTGGATTTGTGATTCCTGCGCAACCACTTCCGACTACATCATGACCGGCAACACGAAGATTTTCCACCCCGCAAGTTCAACCCAAATCTCCCACGTATTCTGCTTTCACATTCAGCCACGATGACAATGAACGACGATTCGACGAGTCCAGCGGCAGGATCCTGATAACCAAGACCGACGTCCCCATCCCAACAAAGACAATGATCACCTACCTGGACGTCGCAGAGAACCCTGTGGGAGAATGCGTTCCGGTCATGCTGTGGCAGATTCAACTACTCTCAGACTCAATGTCAAAGAGTTCTCACACAGAACCAATATCATCCTTCTCCTGTGTCACGCACTCTATGACCAACAAGAACGAAAAAAGGCACCTGCAGCATCATCAAAGACACCCAGTCGAAGGAGCCGCCTCAACAAGGTTCTCAGATGAAAGCTTCTCAGATGAAAGGTTCAATCCTTGGACCAGTTGGAAAGAGGGGCTGGCAAGGTTCAGGCAAGAGAGGCCAAGAAGACGTACCTCAGATGTTCCCAAGAGTGCGAGCTCAACATCGAAGACGAACTCAGCAAATACACTACCTATAGCAAACGCGGATTGGGACGCGATGGCCACTGTACTTCACGAAGAAGCGTCAAATTTCATGATGAACCATCGAGCCGAGCATACAAGAAAGCAGCGCAATGCATTTGGTCACGAACTGTCAGGAAGTTTGAACAAGCGCACCGTTTTTCCGGCTATTGCAAATACTCCTGATGGAATGCGAGCGCGGGCTCTTTACATAGTATGGATCGACCGGTTGCATCATGGAACCACAAAGTTCATGAGTATTGGGAAAGCAACCAAGGAAAAGGAATCATCGAGATCACCATCCTTCACGAGCGCAAGAAAGAAGAGTGTGCGGGGAATGACATTGAAAGATAGGTCAACAGCACCGCCTGCCACGTCCAAGCCGAACGCGACCGAAGGTGACGGCGCTTATGCGAGGCGAGAGTTAGAGACGGCTTCAAAGACTATCGACATGCTCAACGAGAAGCTCGGGAAGATGCAAGATGAAGATTATGGGAGCACGCTACGCATAGAAGAGCTTGAAAGCGCACGAGAGCTTGCCAATCAACAAGTGAGACATATTCTACAGAAGCGGAGCCGTCTCGATCTCTTCTCGTCGATGACTGGACAACCTTCACTACCATCGAAGCATCCAAGAGAGGACCTCTCCTGAAAAGCAGGCTCATTGGAGATGCGTACATGCACAAGGAAGTTCTCGACAACACATTGCTTCAAGATCCAGTAGAAGGTGTCAACTACTGCAAGAACACGATGAAGCAGTGACCATCATGAAAAATGGATATGGCGAAGGTCTTCGTCGGAGAGCAGGAAGGGAAGAAGGCGCTTTCAGAAAACTCAAGCTGCACAGCTTTGGAGACAGCATTTTGTGAATGATGAACTTGCAAGACAGACGGTTGGGAAATTCGAGAGAGAGAGAGAGATCGAAGATCTGTCGCGTTCCAAAAGGGATCTTCAAGCAGTGCTGCGTCATGAAGAATATGTTACGAGGTCATCACTGATGTTTGCCAAGGAGGTTGGTCAACAATCTCCTGCACAAGTGCCCCAGCTGGAAGACACACTGCGAAGCACCGAGCGCGTGAGGAAGAGGCTGCAGACATTTGGACTAACTCCACACCCAATGTCCTCCTGAGCAACTTGATCCTAGTGAGTCCTCCGACGTGCTTGCGATAAAGGCGAACGAGGCGTTTGCTTATCTAACATTGCCAGACCGGCCGTTGGCGAGTACAACGCGCTTACCGGAATCTTCGAAGGTGGCCCGTCTGGTTCGCCTCTGTAGGTGGGTGCAATGGGTGTTCAGATTTAGGACGCATCGAACAGCGCCGCCACGAGCATGAGTCCTCGAGTACCAACATAAGAACGAAGCTTGCTGTTGCTGAGAACATGGGGTAGACTTCCGTCTTGTTCTCGTGGAAGTGGCCGGTGGCGAGAATACTCTCCCGGTTGTGCGGCAAGACTTAGATGAATATTCTTGAGAGCTTCTCCTGCAAGAAAAGAACCAACTGAGCTGATACCCGCAAGGGGTTTCTCGGATCTGCCATAGACTCTTGCGAGTTCCGTCGCATTATGATGTATGTAAGGTAGACCTACATCTCCTTGGTGATTGAATACTGTGGGACGATCTGCATGTGCCATGTGGATGGTGAATCTCGACGCTGCTTGAATGTTTCGTGTTGCTGGGTTTGTTTGGTGGATATCGCTATCGTCTCCGTGCTGTGGACCATTCTTCCATTGGATTCGCTGACCGAGCCTACCTGGAAGTTCTTGCGGATTTTGGCCATGATCTTCTTCTCAAAGGCGCTGTCACCTGCCAGGAGAGGTTGTCACGTGGGGGCATAACACCATGAACTTGCCTGCTTCTGAGACGGGATCCATGAGATAAACGATTGTTGCGGCACCGCGACAAGCGTAGGAACAGCGATCCGCACGAGCTGGCACCAGGTTGTAGGACCTTAGTGCTGAAGCAAGCGTGTTCCACCAGCGTCTTGGAGCGTCGCTCAGTCTGTGTGCGGCTTTTTCGTGCGGGCTTCCACAACATGGTCGGCAGCCCATTTCCGCAGGAGTCTGACAGATTATGTCGCGGGTCTCATCGTAAGCTACTCCTTGGAGAAAGGCGGTTTAAGTCCACGTGGAATAGGTTTAATCCGTTGTTTGCTGCTGATTGAACAGCCAGTCTGAATCCGCTCCTTGAAGCTGATGGGCTGTCTGTTTGTTGTTCATTCCTTTGACGGCCTTGAAAACCTCTTAGCACCTAACGTGCTGTGGTCTGAAGGAAGTTGCCTTCAATATCTCTATTGATGGTCAGGGCCCCTCTTCCCGCCACCCAGTTTTTCACGTGGAGTTTGCTGGCGTTGACTACGTCAAATACTTCGCTGTCTAGCCAGGATTTGCACGTCAGGAGTTTTGCTTCAAAGAACTGTTTACTGCGAGCTCAGGTTTCTCTTTGCGCGGCTTCCTTGCGCTTCTCGCCAATTAGTTGTTGTGTGGTGAAAACCGTGAGGGACTCTTGTCTTTCGGAACACAGTGTGAGCATTGCTCCGTGTGGGAGATGTGTTGAAGTCAACTTACAGTAGGCAGGTATAGTCTGAAGCTGTCCTTGAAAAAGACCCCTTCGCAATGCTCCAGTGGCTTGAAGTCCTCGCTTGCAACCAAAAGACCTCACAAATCAAATTCGATCTTCTCAACCCTTGACTGGAAAGCCAAACCTGGATTTGACAAGGGTCTCTCTGCCACATTTGCTTGCAGGTGAAAGCCTGCCGGCCCAGCTGGTTTTACTTCACGCAGCTTGCGGCAGAACTAGGCAACTTGCCCTGCATCTCACGCATACTGACTGGACCATCCCAGGAAGAGCTCACGTTGGCTTGCCAAGCAAAAGGCAAAAAAGACTTGGTCGGTGCCGTAGCTTCCTCAAATCCTGCGGGAGCACCCCGAAACCTACGAACCCAAACCGCAATCTTTGGACAATGTTGCGCGTGGGGCCTTATTTTCCTACGCTTTGAGCAGCTCCTCGCGCTGACGTTCTCGGATCTCAGCGCGCAGCCGCTGGCACTCCTGACTTCACAGGCTATGCGCGGTCTGAAGCCTTGGCATTGGCATAGCTGCGGGAAGCCCGTGCCAACCTCTGGCATGAACCTCTTTATCCGCTTGACATGTCAATGATTTTTTTGAGGGTCTGTAACGCGCGACGCGCCACGAATCTTGTTACCGGAGGTCTGTGACGGAGGTCCTTGTTACACGGGTCTGTAACGGGAAAACGCTTTTTGACAAGTAATATCAGTAGCACAATGTAGCGCAGAACAACGAAGAACAGCAGCTCCTGCTCGAAAGTCGCACAGTACAAGTGGAGTACGGCAAGCACGCCTCCTAGCTTGAAATTTGCAAATGCCGACACAAAGACAAGCTGCGGCAAAAAGGGGGGTCACTGGCCCGGGCTGGGGTTGGGTCTGTCACAAGGTATGCAACGGGTATGTAACGAGGTTTGTAACGAGGCAAAGCAAAGCGAAGTACGCAAGGCGCCTCCGCAGCTCCAGGCTTTTCAACGCAACACACGCTTCGGCAAAGAGGGCAGTCGCTGGCCCAGTTTGTTCAACTGAGGTGTGTAACGAGGGTGCGTAACGAGGGGTGTGTAACGAGCCAGCGGGTCTTGTTACAGAGGTCTGTAACGAATGTCCGCCGCGGCTGTTACAGACCCCTCAAAAGAATCACTGCCATGTAAAAACACAACCAGAGAGAGGGTCAAAGGAACCCTTCAGCGCAGAGCCCCAAATCGGCCGCAAAGCGATTTTGTCTGGTCACGATGACATTTGCCTTGTGCATGCATTGATTGTGCCTGGGCAAATTCCCGAAGACTGTGTGGAATAGGAATAGCGGCCTGTCGGAACCACGAAACAAAAACGATGGTCACTACCATTTCCATGACTTTTGCCCACCCTTCGTGTCGCATTTGACCACCGCTGAGTTTCGAGATTGAAGACGCCAGGCATTCGAAGACAAGCACGAATGGATGCGAGCGCGGTGCTGCGGCACAAAACTGTTTCTTGCAGTGTTGTCAGCGCTGTCTGCTGGCGAGGTCACCAGGGATTATAACTTCTACGCAAAGTGGTTGAGTCCAACATGTTGCGCGGCTTTCCCAGTGAGGGTGCTCAGAATCCTTTGGCTCAACCTGCTTTGCGTGCTTTTGCATGGGCAAATGCGTCACCCCCGTCTCAGAACGCTTTCTCACACCATGGCCCGCCCCACTTGGCAGCACAGCTTTCTACCCGAAGGCGCCATCTGGGTGTGGCTGCAGGCTGCGGGGCACGCTGGTCGGGGAGGACACGAATCTAAATTTCCTGGCTTAAGAAAACAAACCAGGCAGAGCTATTTTTTAAAAGTGTTAGGGGATCATCCCGGGTTCCTGAACGCTCTCTCCAATTCAGCGATGCCAACGAGCGTCCTCCCATAGCGCCTGTCACGTGCCTGACATGTCCGCGGTTAGAAGCTTGGCCGGGCCCTCGCGAGCTGGCAGTGCCGGCATATCTGCACAGCACCCTCTGGCGTTCCCCACTGAAGTGCTTGCGTTTAGAAACCTTCGGGCATTCCCAGGGCCCTTCAAACAAACGTGGGGTCCGCCTTCCATTGTGGTTCCAGCGGACCAGTGATCTAGAAGCTCACGCCCGCGAGGAATCTTTGCCTGGCGCCGTCCACACACACGGCCTACCCTACCGCAAACACACGTGGCACCCTGGAGAAAAAGGATGCATATCCATCACACAGGATCAGTGTTTGCCCTGAGCAACCACCTGACGGGGCGCTTTTGCGGCCTCAGCCGCTGAAGCTCACGAGCCACTCTGCCAATTGATCCGCACTGGGCACATTGTACGTCACGTATGGGTGTGCCTGAGCCACAGTTCAAGTCTAGGGATGGCCTTAGGGAAACCTTTGCCAAACATGAACTTCGGGTGGCGATCACTGAGCTCACTGATCCACATCGCATGCAACTTTTGAGGGGCTTCCAGATCAAGTTTCACAGGTTTTTGGAGCTTGTTGGAGTTGAATCACGCCTTAACAGCTGAGGCTGAGACCAGAAGGTATTCAGTATCCTCGGCATGGAACTTCATCCGGGCTGGCCAACACAAACGGGCATGAACGCAGTGACACCCTGAATGGAAACTAAGAGGTTGCTCGCCTGACAGTACACACTGCGCGCTGGAGATGAACTCCAGGCGTGCGTTCTCTCGTGCTCAATGAGCCAGTGCAGGCAAGGATCGGCTCGCCTTGACACATCTCGGGTCAAGCACAGGGCATCAAATTCCACCAGCTCTTCGGGAAAGTACTCCGGGTCTAGCCTGCCACCATGCCACCCAACCTTTGCGCCCCGGGCTTGGGATCACCTTTCCACTGCGCTGGAAGGAATTCCTGCGCAATACTCCGCCGACCCTTTCTCTAAAAAGGGGAGGCGCACGGGAAGGGTGGTTGGCACATAAACATGACAAAAGATTCATCCTCATCAGCATCATCATCAGCATCAGTATCACGGTTGTCATCATTATCTCTTTCTTCAAGACATTTCAAATGCATTGGTAACGAAGAGGATGCTACGATGCTAGTTATCATGACAGTCATCGGCAGCTTTGGTAGTGCAGAGGATGCTGTGATGATACTTATCATGACAGTCGTCAGCCTTATCATCATTATCCGTATGATCATCATGATCTCTGGTTCTGCAGCACTAGCATTGCAGACGATGCTACAATGATAGTTATCAAGACAGTCATCGCCAGCTTTGCTCATGCAGAGGATGCTACGATGATAGTTTATCATGAGAGTCATCATCCTTATCATCTTCGTGATGATTGTCATCACAGTCATCACCTTCATCATCGTCATCGTGATGGTCATCATCATCTATACAACTCAAATGTGGCGTTAGGCACCATTGGTAATGCAGAAGATGCTGTGACGATGCTTATCATGACAGTCGTGATCCTTATCATCAACGTCCGTATGATCATCATGATCTCTGGTTCTCCAGCATTGGTATTGCAGAGGATGCTACGGTGACAGTTATCATGACAGCCATCGCCAGCTTTGCTCATGCAGAGGATGCTACGCTGATAGTTATCATGAGAGTCATCATCCTTATCATCTTCATGGTGATTGTCATCACAGTCATCACTTTCATCATCGTCATCGTGATTGTCATCATCATCTCTTTCTTCTACACATTTCAAACGCATAGTTAGGCATCATTGGTAATGCAGAGGTTGCTGTGATGATGCTTATCACGACAGTCGTCAGCCTTATCATCATTGTCCGTGTGATCATCATGACCTCTGATTCTGCAGCATTAGCATTGCAGACGATGCTACGATGATAGTAAACATGACAGTCATCGCCAGCTTTGCTCATGCAGAGGATGCTACGATGATAGTTATCATGAGAGTCATCATCCTTGTCATCTGCATGATGATTGTCATCACAGTCATCACTTTCATCATCGTCATCATGATGGTCATCGTCAACCCTTTCTTCTATACATTTCAAACGTGGCGTTAGGCACCATTGGTAATGCAGAGGATGCTGTGATGACACTTATCATGACAGTCGTCATCCTTATCATCATTGTCCGTATGATCATCACGATCTCTGGTTCTGCAGCATTGGTAATGCAGAGGATGCTACGATGATAGTTATCATGACAGTCAACGGCAGCTTTGGTAATGCAAAGGACGCTGTGGTGATACTTATCATGACAGTCGTCAGCCTTATCATCATTAACCGCTTGATCTTCATGATCTCTGGTTCTGCAGCATTGGTAATGCAGAGGATGCTACGATGATAGTTATCATGACAGTCAACGGCAGCTTTGGTAATGCAAAGGACGCTGTGGTGATACTTATCATGACAGTCGTCAGCCTTATCATCATTAACCGCTTGATCTTCATGATCTCTGATTCTGCAGCATTAGCATTGCAGACGATGCTACAATGATAGTTATCAAGACAGTCATCGCCAGCTTTGCTCATGCAGAGGATGCTACGATGATAGTTATCATGAGAGTCATCATCCTTATCATCTTCATGGTGATTGTCAGAACAGTCATCACTTTCATCATCGTCATCGTGATTGTCATCATCATCTCTTTCTTCTATACATTTCAAACGTATAGTTAGGCACCATTGGTAATGCAGAGGTTGCTGTGATGATAGTTATCACGAAAGTCGTCAGCCTTATCATCATTGTCCGTGTGATCATCATGATCTCTGATTCTGCAGCATTAGCATTGCAGACGATGCTACAATGATAGTTATCATGACAGTCATCGCCAGCTTTGGTAATGCAGAGGATGCTACGCTGATAGTTATCATGAGAGTCATCATCCTTATCATCTTCATGATGATTGTCATCACAGCCATCGCCTTCATCATCGTCATCGTGATTGACATCATCAGCTCTTTCTGCTATACATTTCAAATGTGGCGTTAGGCACCATTGGTAATGCAGAGGATGCTGTGATGACACTTATCATGACAGTCGTCATCCTTATCATAACTGTCCGTATGATCATCATGATCTCTGATTCTGCAGCATTGGTAATGCAGAGGATGCTACGATGATAGTTATCATGACAGTCAACGGCAGCTTTGGTAATGCAAAGGACGCTGTGATGACACTTTTCATGACAGTCGTCAGCCTTATCATCATTGTCCGTATGATCATCATGAGCTCTGATTCTGCAGCATTAGCAATGCAGACGATGCTACAATGATAGTTATCATGACAGTCATCGCCAGCTTTGGTAATGCAGAGGATGCTACGATGATAGTTATCATGAGAGTCATCATCCTTATCATCTGCATGATGATTGTCATCACAGCCATCGCCTTCATCATCGTCATCGTGATTGTCATCATCAGCGCTTTCTGCTATACATTTCAAATGTGGCGTTAGGCACCATTGGTAATGCAGAGGATGCTGTGATGACACTTGTCATGACAGTCGTCATCCTTATCATAAATGTCCGTATGATCATCATGATCTCTGATTCTGCAGCATTAGCAATGCAGACG